GGGGGAAACGAGGAGGAGTGAGGGGCACGGCGAAGCCGACCCTCGACACAAGGCGTGCAAGGTGGGGCTGGAGAGGAGGGAAACGCGGGGAGCGAACCTGGGAGACCAAGGACGAGACCGTGCTGAGACATGTGACGCAGACGCGGGAGCGCAGGGTGACCTAGGCGGTGGTGCCACAGGAGGGTCGGGTGAGTGAGGGAGCGACAGGAGCAGGCAGCAGCAACCTGGGTAGACGCAGCCACCTGAGGGGGCGCTCCAGCCGGGGGGGTCACGGTGTCCAGAGTGAACAGGCCGGACACCGGGTCCCGGGGGAACGTGGACAGGGGGGCACCAGTGGCGGCCTCGGTACAGACAGCATACCGCTCGTGACCAGGGAACGTAGTGGTGACGCCAAGGTCCTGGAGGCAGCCGACACCAACTAGGTTCCTGGAGAACGAGGGGATATGCAGACCTGTAAGAGAGCCCGAAGGAACCGCCGGACAGGGAAGGGTGGTGGAACTGCGGGCGACTACCGGGCCGCCGGAGGGGTCAGCAAGAGAAACGGCAGCAGGAACAGGAAGCGGCGTCAGGGTGGTGGAGTCGCGGAAGAAACACCGAGAGGCGCCAGAGTCCAAGGTGAAGGAAAGCGAAGCCGAGGGGTCTGGCGACGGAACGACGACAGAAGCACCAAGACTACACAAAGCAGGGGATCCTACGCCTGACGCAGCAGGGGGGGCTAAGCTAGGCACACCTACACTAGGCAACAGTGAGTAATAAGTCGGAAGCACACTAGAGTCATCAGCATACATCACATGCAGAGCAGAAACAATGGCATCCATGTCCATATCAAAGATCTGAATCTGACGACTAAGCAAACTGTGCCAGTCCGGGAGGTCTGGCGACGGGCCGAAACGCTGACGAAAGAGGTCGTCCAGGCGACGAAAGCAGCGGGGAGTGGAGTGACCGATCTTACCGCAAACGAAACCGCGGCGAGGACCGGTCTGGATCTGGTACTGACAATGCCCGCCGGCAGAGCCACCACGCGGCACACCACCACGCGCCCGTCCACCGCCAGCGCCGGGCCACCCTGGCGGGAGAACACTCGTCTGCCGCGTCTGCGACGGCTGCTGCGGCTGCTGCGAAGGCTGCGACTGCGGCGGCTGCTGCGGCTGCTGCAACTGCAGGGGCGGCGACTCAGCTGGACTGGGCAGGGTCCCCTCGTCCGCTCCAGCACCAGGCGACCCGACCCCACCACTACCCCCGCCCGCACCCCCGCCGCCCCCTCCGCCGCGCCCAGCCTTGGGGCGGCGGCCCTTCCCAGAACGGGCCTGCGCTGCAGCAGCAGTCTCAGCCACTGCGGCAGAGCCGTCGGAGAAGGTACACTGAGCGGGGGCACAACCCTGAAAGATAGGGACCGGCACGACACCGCTCGCCTGGGCGATGGAGCGGTGACGGGTCTCTATCACAGTCAGGGTGTCGACAAAGTCAGTGAGGGTGAGGTCTGCGGGGTGAACACTAAGGAAGCGGTCGCGGGCGACAGCAAGGCGGTCAGGGAGGCGGGTGGCAAGCAGGTAGAGGGTAGAGGTAATGGGCGGCTGGTGGGCTCTAAGCTGTGCGTCAGTGCAGGTGGCGCGCCAGGTCTCCTCTATCGAGCGCAGGTGGGCAGCGAGGTCAGAGACAGTGGGGAACGAAGCAAGGTCAGGAAAGAGCAGCGGGAGGATCAGGCGACCCACCGAGGCAGCCGGAGGGGTGGAATAGCGCTTGATGACAGCATCTAAGTATGCCTGAGCAGTAGTGAGGGACCTAAAGCGAGGACGCTCGGACGGGGGGAGGGCGTTGCTAATGGCAAGCTGGGCGACAGCATCGCGAGAAAGCCAGACAGAGCGCGCACGGGCAGTGGCAGCAGTAGACTCACGCTCAGTGGGTGTGGGGTCAGCGGGCAGAATAGCAGGAGGGTCTGGGCAGGGGAGCGTACCGTCAAGGTGTGCGGAAAGCGGTTCACCATCCTGCCGCTGGCCAGTGAGTTGGCGGCGGAGGTCGGCAAGCCACGCCTCGAACTCTAGGGGCTGACCTTCAGCGTCGAAGCGAAGCTCCGCCGCCATCAGGAACAGTCCAGTGCTGTGCAGGGCGGTGCAGTGCGGTGCAGTGCGATACAGTGCGGTGCAGTGCGGTGCAGGGCGGCACGGAGCAGGGCGGGGTGGGGGGGGGGGGGGAGGGGGGGGGGGGGGGGGGGGGGGGGAACCGTACCAGTGAGGAGGACGGGGCCGGGGCTGGCCCGACGGGGCCGGGCGGGCGCGACGGGGCCGGGCTGATGCGACAGGGCCGGGACAGGGCGACGGGGCCGAGCGGGCGCGACGGGGCCGGGCTGGGGCGACGGGGCCGGGCGAGTGCGGCAGGGCCGGGCCGGTGCGACGGGGCCGGGCGAGCGGGACGGCGGCCGGGCTGGTGCGACGGGGCCGGGCGGCTGTGACGGGGCCGGGCAGGGTGCGACGGGGCCGGGCGGGTGCGACGGGGCCGGGCGGCTGCGACGGGGCCGGGCGAGCGCGACGGGCCGGGCAGGGTGCGACGGCGCCGGGCGGGCGCGACGGGGCCGGGCGGCGGCGACGGCGCAGGGCGGGCGCGACGGGGCCGGGCGGCGGCGACGGGGTCGGGCGGGCGCGACGGCGCCGGGCGGGCACGACGGGGCCGGGCGGCGGCGACGGGTACGACGCGGCCGAGGAGGGGCGCTACGGGGCCCAGGAGGGGCACGACGGGGGGGCCCAGGAGAGGCGCTACGAAGCCCAGGAGGGGCGCGACGAGGCCCAGGAGGGGCGCTACGGGGCCTGGGAGGGGCGCGACGGGGCCTGGGAGGGGCGCGACGGGGCCCAGGAGGGGCGCTACAGGGCCCAAGGAGGGCGCGACGGGGCCCAGGAGGGGCGCTACGGGGCCCAGGAGGGACGCGACGGGGCCCAGGAGGGGCGCTACGGAGCCCAGGAGGGCGGGAAAGAGCCCAGGAGGGGCGCTACGAGGCCTGGGAGGAGCGCGACGGGGCCCAGGAGGGGCGCTAGGGGCCTGGGAGGAGCGCGACGGGACCTGGGAGGGGCGCGACGGGGCCTGGGAGGGCGTTACAGGGCCCAGGAGGGGCGCTACGAAGCCCAGGAGGGGGCGCGACGAGGCCCAGGAGGGGCGCTACGGGGCCCAGGAGGGGCGCGACGGGGCGCTACGGGGCCTGGGAGGAGCGCAACGGGGCCTGGGAGGGCGGTACAGGGCCCAGGAGGGGCGCTACGAAGCCCAGGAGGGGCGCGACGAGGCCCAGGAGGGGCGCTACGGGGCCCAGGAAGGGCGCGACGGGGCGCTACGGGACCTGGGAGGAGGGCGACGGGGCCCAGGAGGGGCGCTAGTGGGCCTGGGAGGAGCGCGACGGGGCCTGGGAGGGGCGCGACGGGGCCTGGCAGGGGCGCTACGAAGCCCAGAAGGGGCGCGACGGGGCCTGGCAGGGGCGCTACGAAGCCCAGGAGGGGCGCTACGGGGCCTGGGAGGAGCGCGATGGGGCCTGGGAGGAGCGCGACGGGGCCCGGGAGGGGCGCTAGGGGGCATGAGCGGAAGCGGTAGGTGGGGGGGATCCTACCTACGCGTGATACCATATCAGAAAATTGAATGATAGTGATAGAGGGAGAGTACACACAATATAGCTAAGTGTTGTACCCTCTAAGAGGCTACCCTATACAGTCTATACAAACATAACAAATAGACATGTTTGACAGAAACTGGCGAAGGCAAAGTTCGATTACTGCATGCTGCTGACCGGGCAGATAAACGTCACCAAATCTGGACACGTCAGCACTCTAGAAACGAAGGGGAGTGTTGGAAATACCTCAAGGACTTAAGCGTTTCTGAAGTGTAACACCACACTCGAATGAAGCCGTATCGAGTATGCGAGTCAACGGAGGTTACACGAGGAGGTTGGACGAAAGAACATGAAAGGACGAAAGACTCGAAGGGTCGCAACCGGAGGTTGCGACTGACCGTTACAACTGCAAGGGTGGTAACCGAATCGACTATCGAGTCGCTGTGCGACTCGATAACCGTTCCTTCAACTGTATTCTACAACTGCTTTACTCTTCTATTTTCTATATATTGCTGTATGCTTGCTTCCTTTAGTCAATCACTTGCTCTCACATACTAGTGCAAGGGTTCAACTACTCAACTTCCGCTGCACTACTCAAGTATCTTGTACAACTGGGACTTAATCTCTGAAAGATCCTAAGGGCTTTTTCTTAGCCCAACAATCAAGATTTATTGCAAAAAAAAGAATTAAACCAACAAAAAAAGAAATAATAATAATTAAAAAACTGGCGCACGGAAACATGAAACCAAATTTATATGGTTGCTACGCAACCCAAAAACCTGGTAGCAAAGACACTGTTCACACATATTGTATTGTTCACACGAAAACAATGTTTGTCTTAGTGCTCAAATGTATAGGGTTGCCATGCATGCCAAAAAGGAATTGTAGTTGTAGACTCGCTGTTGGTGTATGGACGCTTCTGGCACAAACGCGCACAAGCAGAGTTTCGAGAATCCCTGAGCACGAGGGTCGCATGACAGCAGCACGGGCAGCACCCGTCTCCCAGCCAACACTGCTCACCTTGGGTTGGATGGAACAAACCAGATCGCAACGTGGCGCTCTTTCGTTCGGCTGGGTACGTTTCGTCTCGGTTCAGTCAAGCCGGGGTGACCAAGAAGCGCGTTTGATTGGCTCTCCCCAACCACGTTTCCCCTTCTGGGGCTTGCCGAGTGGGAGGGGCAGGCAAGGGGCCAGGCGGGCGGCCTGGCAGGCAGGTTCGTCAGGCAAAAGCCCCTAGGGATTGCCCCAAGCAGTGTAGAAATCAGGCAGGCAGGGGGGGGGTGGGGAGCCAGCTCTTGCTTGAGCAGTGAGTGAACTGAATGGCTCCTTGGAGTGCCGCGGGAGGGTCAACCCTAGCTCTTTTTCTAAGAGTTCCCAGTGCTGGTTCTTTTCCCACTGTATTTATTGGTAGCTATTCTAGTTCCTAACTTATGTAGATAAGCCAGCATAGCTGCAATGGAAGACGAGGTGCCTTCTGAATCATGGACATTGCAGGGCGGAGATAAAGCATTAATCGCTGCTAAAAATCGCGCTGCAACGCGTCGTCCTGCTTCCTCCCCTAACCCCAATATCAGCAACTCAAACCAGCCCGTGACTGCTTTCTCGTCTGACCCTGATGGCTATTCAAAGCTCATGTTTCCACTCTCACCTGAACGTGATAGTAACTTAAAGTCCAGAGAAGGTCGTTTGATTTCGCCGTCTCGTCGCAAGTCTGTCGCACAGCCTGCGTCGGGACGAAGTCGCACGAGGGAGAGCAGCAGCGGTAGCAATGACGTAGTAATGATCGATTCAAACGCGAAAAAGCGTGCGACTTATCAGCGAATTACTGACCGGAATAGCATGGCCGATGGAACGCTGCCAGCGGGAATTCATGATAGGGATACTGTTGACGACACGAGTCAGCGTCGCAGCCAGCGAAACGGACAGGTAGCTGACCGAGCAACGGAGAGTATTCATTTCCCAGCGGAAGGTGCTCCAAAGGGGGTGACGGGATCTAGTCATATTCAGAGCTCGAGCGGTCGAATTGGGGACAACTCCGGAAAGGTAAGTGGTTCTAGAATGGCTCACAGCCGGACTCGTAGCGTCGACTTAAGCGTTGTTCTGTGCAGGCCTATAACGGAGATAGAAGTGGTGGAGCGCTGGGGCGGAACCTCACTGAATCGAGCCTTATCCGGTGCAGCACGGTCAGACGGATTAGGCGGAGCTCTCACGACCGTCGATGCAGCCCCGATGGACGGGCACGACTCGTCACGTTCCGCAGCGGATCAATGGCGGAAGAACCCTAGCGCGTGGATGGAGTTTAAGAGGGGGGAATTTAGTCGAAGTGCTTCTAAGGAAACTGACTCTAGTGAAGGCGTGTCCTGGGCTGGCGACGGTGAGACGGTCGCTCCTGTAGCGAGACGTGCTAGCGTCAACTCACGTTCTGATCCATCGGCGTCAAACCCTAACATCCACCGGCGCACGAAATCGTTTCATCATCAACCCATCGTCAAGCCCATAGCTGATCTCTCACCCGCAACTTCATCCACACCTTCAGGCGCCTACCCTCCTCCCGCGTCTCTCTTTGCCCGCTCCAGCACCACTACCACCACGCACTCCAGGGACTACTCTGAGTCGACTCAACTCACACCGACAGGCGTCTACCCTCCTCCCACGTCTCTCTTTGCCCGCTCTAGCACCACTACTGCGCACTCCAAGGTCTCGCTCCCCTCTCCCAGACCCCCGCTTCCTTCCCACACGCCCAGAGAGTCGGCTCTCTCACCGTTTTCTAGGTTTAACCGCTCGGAATCCGCGAAAGTAGCTGCTGGTGGTAGTGCGGGTGCTGGTGCTGCTACTGCTGCTGCTGGTGCCTCAACTCGCGCTAGTGGTGGCGCTGGTGCTGCTCGCATGCAATCGTTGGGGCAGCAGCAGCACCTAGAGCTTCGGCAGCAGCAGCAACAGCAGCAGCGGCAGCAGCCGCTTCAGTGCAGTTCTCTTGAGTCTGGGAGTGAGAGCGAGAGCAGTCGGTCAGTTAGAAGTTCCCTCCACACGCGCAGTCAGAGCAGCACGCACGTCTCGAGCCAAAGCCTGACTGACGGAACAAGACAGCCGCAGCAACAGCTGACAGAGCAGCAGCAGCGGCAGCAGCAGCGTCCGGGCCGGCAGCAGCATGGGTTTGAGAGTCAGAGCGAGAGCAGTCGGCCAGTAAAGAGTGGAGCTCACAGGCGCAGTCAGAGCAGTGCGCATGTTGTCAGGCGTCACTTGGATGAGTCACAAGGTCAGCAGCAGCAGCAGCAGCAGCAGCATTTTGGGCAGCAGCAGCAGCAACAGCAGCATGGGTCTGGGAATGAGACCGAGAACGCCCAGTCAGTAGTGAGTGCAAGGCACAGCCGCAGTCAGAGCAGCGCACTCGTCTCCAGAGGCTACTTGGATCAGTCACTAGGTTATCGACATCAGCAACAGCAGCAGCAGCAGCATCCGGGACGACATCAGCTACAGCAGCATGGGTCCGAGACTGAGAGCAAGAGCAGTCAGTCGGTAAAGAGTGGCAGCCACAGGCGCAGTCAGAGCAGCGCACTTGACCCCAGAGGCTACGTGGACCAGCCACTAGGCCAGCCGCATCAGCAAAAGCTGCAGCATTTGGAGTGGAAATCGCCGCCGCCGCCGCCGCAGCAGCAGCAGGAGCAGCAGCAGGAGCAGCAGCAGCATGCGGGACGACGGCAACTACAGCGGCATGGGTCTGAGAGCGGGAGTGGTCAGTTGGAAAAAGGTGCAAGCCACAGGCGCAGTCAGAGCAGTGTGCGTGCCTTCAGCCGATGCTCGTCTTCCCCAGTCGGGCAGCTGCATGACCAGCATCCCTGGCAGCGACCGCAGCTGCAGGATCAGCAGCAGCAGCAGCAGCAGCAGCAGCAGCATCAGTGGCGGCAGCAGCAGTGGCACGCGGATGCAGGTGGTTTGAGAGGGCGGCACCGCGCCTCTCAGTCCCTGCAGCTTTCCCTCGATGATCCAGCAGCAGCGAGCAGGTGGGGGGTTGAGGAACAGGCGCAGGAGCTGCAGGCACGACAGGCAGGACAATTGGCACAACTGCCGGGAGCAGGATTGACACAACTGCCGGGAGAACGATTGACACAACTGCCGGGAGAACGATTGACACAACTGCCGGGAGCAGCATTGACACAACTGCCGGGAGAACGATGGCCAGCTGACGTAACAGATGGGTGGGAGGGATCAGTTGGAGGCGCTAATTTGAGCAGTGGATCTCCTGAGGCTGCTTTTCTGAGAAGGCACGAGGCAGGAGACGAGGGGTCAAGCGCAGCATCCGGAGCAGACAGAGCATGGGGGGAAAAGCGGATTAGGACGGCTAGAATGAGCATTGACCATCTCCCAAGCCCGCTGTCTCGAGTTGGGCCTAGATCACAACAGGGGGTTTGTTCAAGGGCTGAGCGCTTGACTGACAGACTGCTGACTGACTCTGATGACGTCTTGACGGATTCTGACGTAGGTTTAGATGGCACTGCCGGGCTGATGACAGCTGACGTGGCAGTACATGTTGGACATGTGGTAGGGGCCCGGAGTTTTGATGGGCCAGGGGGATGGGGAGGAGAAGGATTGAGAATACCGGCAGCAGAGCAAGCAGGGGAGAGTGAGAGGGACCTTCTCTCTCCCAGCGATGATGCAGCTCCTATTGCTACGCCTGTGTATGGCCCCATGGTTCCGGGGCAGTGGGAGGAGAGAAGCAGGGAAGCAGAGGAAGAATCGGAGCACCGGCAGGAGGGGGACGTTGAGATGGACGGTGGGTTTGAGATGGCGGACGGAGTAGAGAAGGATGCATTACACGAGGAGCAGTGGTTCGGAGGTGGCGGGGATGCTGGTTTGGGGGCCATTGAATCGCGGTTGGGAGGAGCTGATGATGATGATGATGGCGAAGGGAGTGACAGTGGGGAGAGTTGCGTCGTAATGGCTGATGTGGTGGAAGTGGTGGGAGTGGTGGGAGTGGAGGGAGTGGAGGGTGGTGAGGGAGGGTTGGGGCTTCTGGGAGGGGAGGAAGGGAGAGGAGGGGAGGAAAGGCGAGTGGAGGCGTGGGAGGGGGGGCAGGAGGACGAGGAGGAAGAGGAAGAGGAGGCGGGGGAGGAGGAGGCTAAGGATGCAGAGGAGGAGATTTTAGTGGGGCCAGAGCACTGGGATGGGGAGGTGGAGACAGAGGAGGATGAGGAGGAGGAAGAGGAGGAGGAGGAGGAAGAGGAGGAGGAGGAGGAGGAGGAAGAGGAGGAAGAGGAGGAAAGGGAAGTGGTTGAGGAAGTGGTGGGGGTGGAGGTAGGTGGTAGAGAGGGCGTATGTGGTAGAGAGGGGGTATTTGAGGATGGCGACCCTCCTGGTACTTCATCACTGCATGCTGGCAGAAAGGCAGTGGAGGTAGCGGCAGACGTAGAGGAACCCCAAACGGACAGCATGGGGGATGGGGGGAGGGGGGAGAATCAGAGCACGAGCAAGAGCAGCAGCTGGAGGAGCAAGAGCAGCGGGGGTTTGTTTCAGGGTTTGAGGAGCAGAAGCAAGCTGTTTCTTGGAGGCAAGGCTGGTGCGCATGGGGGAACGGACAGCCAGCAGCCGGGAGGAGCAGGAGAAGCAGAGAGGCCAGAGGACCATACTGCAGCAGATGCTACCAGTGAAGGGGCCGCTGCCATAACCAGCACCGGCACCAGCAGCAGCAGCACCAGGAGCATTTCTGGGCTCAGAGTGAGGTCTTTTGCTGCTGTCAAGGGAGCAAGGGGGGGGATCTCGTCAGCAGCTGCCAAAGCAGCGGCTGGGATCAGCTCAGGCGCGCGCAACGTTGCTGCAGTTACCAGCATTCCTGGCGCTGCTGCTAGGAACGTGGCTGCTGCAGCAGGGGAGGCGGGGCAGGGGGCGAAGAACTTTGCTGCTGTGGCCGCAGGGGGGGTGGCAACAGGTGCGCTGACTGTTGCTGGCGGGATTAAGGGAGGGGCAAAGAACGTTGCTGGAGGCATAAAGGGCGGGGCGAGGAATGTTGCTGGGGGTATTAAGGGAGGAGTGAAGACTGTTACTGGTGGTGTGAAAAGTGTTGCTGGAGGGGTGAAAGATGGGGCGTTGACGGTAGCAGGAGGGGTGAGAGGAGGAGTGTTTACGGTAGCTGGAGGAGTGAGGGAAGGGGCCATGACTGTTGCTGGAGGGTTGAGAGAAGGTGCATTAACTGTGGCAGGGGGAGTAAGGGAGGGAGCTGTGACAGTAGCGGGGGGGTGAAAGAGGGAGCGCTGACAGTGGCAGGGGGGGTGAGGGAGGGGGCGATATCGGTAGCAGGAGGGGTGAGAGAAGGCGCGTTGACAGTGGCAGGGGGGGTGAGAGAAGGCGCGTTGACTGTGGCAGGAGGGGCTCAGAGCGTGGCTGCTGCAGCAGCGGGGGGGATCAAGGAAGGGGCAATGAATGTGGCAGGAACCGCAGTAGCAGCGGCAACGGCCGCAGCAGGAGGGATTCGAGAAGTGGCTGCTGAAATCAAGCATCGAGCAGACGAGGCGGTGGCTGAGGTGGCTGCAGGCACTACCAAGCTGCAAAGGGTGCATAGCGTTGAGGAAAACGAGGAGTATGGCGGTCAGGAGGAGGAAGGGTTACGGAGTAACAGCTTGAGTAAGAGCAAGAGCACGGATGCAGCCACTAGCGTGATCCGACCCAGCCCGAGTTTCCTTAAGAGCAGCACCGTTACTAGGAGTAAGACCCACGACAGCAGCACCATCAGGGCCCCAGCTCACAGCAGCCGAAGCAGCAGTGTCAGCAGCAGTCCGGTTCTCCCAGCGAGCCTCGGTAGGAGTAGGAGCAGCGGGAAGGAGCGAGACACGCCCCGCACCTTCACAGAAGGTTCCTTCGATGCGGAGTCTTTCCTGGAAGGTTCGTTCGGCGCGGACTCGCTCCCGAGGTGCTCTTTCGATGCAGCCTCTTTTCACTCCAGCCCGGCCCATACAGACTTGTTTAACCCTGATTTTTTCAGTGTAGATTTCTCAGGTGATCTTGGTAATAGCGGGTCTCTCAATAGAGGGGATTCCAGGAGGGCAGCCTCACTCCCTCGTAAGGAGTCCAGAGGCAACCTGCTGGTGAGAGGGAGCGCTGCTCTGGTGGCTAGGAGTGCAACCACGGCTTCGCTTATGGCCAGAGCTGATTCAACAGCTGTTGCGATGACACGAAGCGACACAACGGCTGTTACTGCGGTGAGACGAAGTGACACAACCGCGGCTACCACCATGACACGAAGAGACTCCTCTGCCACTGGCGCGTCGTTTCCCAGCAGCAGCAGCGTTATGGGGGGAGGCCTCTTGGGAAACTTAGGCGCCCGTCACGCTCCCAAGGGGCGTTCTGCCAGACTATCAGGGGAATTTACCCATTCCAGTTTTGACGAGATGTTTCCCAGTCCCGACAGCGCTCCTCTGTCCCCTGAGGATGCCCTCTTAGCTCTCTGGGAGGTGGAGGGGGAGGAAGGGGGAGACGGAGGGGAGAACGGTAAGGGGAGGATGAAAGGCCCTCACTCGCGCCGTCTGAATGCTTCGGGTCTTGCTATAGCCGGGGCTGCTGCCGAAGCTGCGGCTGGGATCACGTCCGGGGCCCGGACCGTTGCCGCAGCTGCGGCAGGGGTTCGGTCCGGAGCTAAGAATGTAGCCTCGGCGGCAGCTGGAGGAGCTAAGAATGTAGCTTCGGCAGCAGCAGGGGGGGCAAAGAGTGTGGCTACTGCTGCAGCGGGGGGGATAGCATCGGGAGCAATGAATGTGGCAGGAGGGATCAAGGGAGGGGCGAGGAACGTTGCTACAGCGGCAGCAGCCGCAGCATCGGGGATAGGGTCTAGGGTAGAGAATATGGCTAGAGGGCCGGGGGGGTCGAGTCTGAGTGGCAGTATGGCATTGCTGGGTGGGAATGTGGGGAACTGCTGCAAGCAGGCGCCGAGGACAGAGACGTTTGGGCACAATGCGTCTTTTGTTGAGAGGTACGTGGCAGGGATGGAGGGGAATGAGGGGATGGAGGGGAATGAGGGGATGGAGGGGAATGAGGGGATGGAGTGGAATGAGGAGGCGGGGAGTGGATGGGAGGCGAGGGGAGAGGTGGAGGGAGGAGAAAATGGTGAGGGAAGATGTGAAGGGGTGGGAGAAGAGGTGGAAGAGGAGGAGGAGAAGGAGGAGGAGGAGGAGGGTGGGCTGGAGCGAGAGGGTGAGATGGGGTATGAGACGAAGGAGAAGGGGGAGGAAGGGGCGCTTGGGGAAGTGGAAGGGGAGGAGGTGGGGGTGGAAGGGGGGGAGATGGTAAGTGTGGCGGACATTGTGTTTGGGAAGGACGACCCGCGCTATGTGACGAGTTTGGGTGTGACTGTGACTGATACCCTTGCAAGCACAGACACGGGGTTGGTTCTCTGGGCAGTATCCAGCAGTGCTGTGGCAGCAGCCTTTTCTAGCAGCAGCATGGGAGGGGATGCTCCTGCTGCGGGTAATGCAGCAGTGCCGCATGCAGTCAGCAGCAGCAGTGTTGCGGTAACCAGCAGTTTTGCAGTAACCAGCACTTTCGCTGAAACCAGCAGAGCAACGCTGACCCCATACAGCAGCCGGGAAGCTATGGCTGCCCCAGTGGGTGCTGTTCGCAGCAAGCAGGGCAGGCGGGCAGTGGCGGCTTACCAGGTGCCGCTATCCAAGCGCATCAGAACAATGTTAGGTCGACACCATCAGGTGGGGGCAGATGAAGGCATGGGAGTGGGAGTGGGTGATGAGGGCACGAGCACAGGGTTGGATGAGGGCACAGCGGCGGGAGTGGGTGAGGGCGTGATGCTGCGTGTGTCTAAGTCCCTAGGGGACGAGGGACAGCAGCAGCAGCAGCAGCAGCAGCAGCAGCAGCAGCGGGTGATGCTAAGGGCCAAGTCCGAGGGTAGGGGTGTTGCCTCGTCTTTATCCTCCTCATTGCTTGCTTCGGTTGAGCGCTCCGCATCCGATTTCGTGTCCAGCAGTTCTGTTTCAAACGGTCGCCTGGGTTCGAGGAAGCGGCTGCATGAAGTGTTTCTGGAGCAGCAGCAGCTGGAGAAGCAGCAGCTGGAGCAGCAGCAGCAAAAGGAGCAAAGGGGTGGTGGCCTTGAGGTGTTGGGGCGTGGGGGTGAAGGTGAAACATCAGCAGCAGCAAACCGGCATTTCGAGGAAGACCAGCAGCAGCAAAGGCGGCTCCGGAGTCGTGGCTTGGGCCGGACAGCAGTGCACCCTAGGCATTGCATGTCAGCTGGATCCGTCCCTTCTCTTCATGCTGCCGCAGATACTGCTTTACTTGTTGGTGGAGATGCTTTCTCAGGTGCTTTCTCAGGTGCTTCAGCATCCTCTGGCAGCTCTCTAATCCCCCACCGCTTTCTCTTTCAAGAGCCTCCAGCCACCAGCATTCGCCGCGTTACCAGCAGCAACAGCAGGAGCAACAGCCGCAGGAACAGCAATCCTCCAGGCCACACTGGCAGCCCTTGTTGGCTGCATAAGAGCAGCCCTAATAGGCTCCGTAAAAGCAGCAGCAGCAACGGAAATAGCAGCAGCCAGTTTCAACAGGATAGCGCCCAGCTCATGGCTGCAAGTGATGCTGCTGCTAATAATGCTGCTGCTGCTATTGATGCTGCTGCTAATGGTGCTCCCGGTGCTATTATTGTTGCTGACGGTGCTGCTGCTTCTGCTGCTGCGGATGGCGTTGCTGCTGGATCTACCAGTGCACCAACGTCTCCCCTGCTCGAAGCATCGCCCCGCCTCAGTCGCTCCAAGTCCTCTGGGGCTGCATTCGAAGCTGCCACATCCGGCGATGATTCTCCAGCACAGCAGCAGCCAGTAGAAAACATGCAATCACAGCAGCAGCAGGGGCAGCAGCAGGGGCAACAGAAGCACAGATTGCAGAAGCTCAGCTCTCGTTCGCAGCGTGACTTAGTTCCGTCCTCCTCCTCAGGGGTATCACTTCAGCCGTCCTCCTCCCTCTCCTCCTCTTCCCACGCTGCTCCCCCCTCCGCCCAGCACCGTGCTGTTGACCTGACCTCCTCCTATCCCCAGTTTAAGCGGGAAATTGCCAGAATCCGCTGCCTGGCGTCTCTTAAACCCTCTACCTCCGTTGCTACCGCTGCCACTGCTGCTTCCACTGCCTCGCTGCCCCATAGAAAGCACCCCAGGGAGCGTGGCAGGAATGGGCGGAGAGAGTGAGAGGAAAGGCATCCCTGCAGGACAAGGAGCAGATGCAGCAGGGGAGGGAGGAGCAGCAGCAGCAGCAGCAGCAGCAAGTGCAACCAGGGCTTAACGGCAGCGCGAGTGCTCATGTAACTCTGAACAGAGGGCGTTCAGAGCTCTTCTCTGATCACTCATCACCAGCTATTCCCTCAGATGGCATCCCCATGGGCCAACTGAGGCGCAGCAGCAGCAGCAGGCACGTTCGCCATTCTCACTCCCATACCACACGTGCTGGTTTTAAGTCCCCCTCCTCTTCTCATCTCTCCTCTGCAACAGTCTCCGCACCACCCGCAGGCTCCAACCCTCGTCTCCCCTCTCAGTTGCTCCCTCCTCTGCTCCGGTTCCTCTTTGAACCTGGGCCCCCTCCGAACCCCTCACTGCCTGCCCGTGCTGACCTGCTTAGGGCCAAGGCTACAGGGTTGTCGTGGGTTGAGCGGAGGGAGCTGTCTATTAGAGGGCTGATTCTGAGGCCAGAGGAGGAGGAGAAAGTTGCAGAGGAGGATCAGAAGGGTGGGGAACACGGGGAGGGCAAGGGAGGGAGGAGTGGAAGGGAAGAGGATGTAGTGGGAAGGGGGGGTCCGTTGGGTGAGATGGGTGAATGTGTAGAAGAAGGAAGGGGAGAGGAAGAGGGAAGGGGAGGGGGAGAGCGAGAGGAGAGGGGAGAGGGAGAGAGTGAGCGGAGTAGGCTGGTGCGGGAACAGTTGATGCTGCAGCTTGCAGTGCAGGAGAGGGAGGAAGAGGTAAGGAGGCAGATGCTCTTAGAGAAGCAGGGAGGAGAGGTGCAGAGGGCTTGTGATTGGGGGGAGGTAGATGGGCGAGATGGAGAAGAGAATGAGATGAAGGGTCCTGCTGCTGTGGGGCTGAGTTCAGATTCTGTTGAGTCTCCTGTTGGTAGTTATGCTGCTGCTGGTGATGCTGCCGCCACTGCTGCTGTTGCTGCTGCTGCTGCTGCTGCTAGCGCAAGTGATGCTGTGGGTTCTAGGGCTGCTGCTACCCCAGCCACCACTGCTGCTCCCAGATTGCGATCGCTTTCTCGGCTATATGCCACCCGCCGCCGCCCGTCTCAAGATGGCAGTTTCGGCAGCAAGCGGAGTGTGGGAAGCACCCACCACAGTGAGAGAAGTATAGGAGAGGAGGAGGGTGGGGATGGGGAGGAGGAGGAGAGGGAGGGCAGAGCAGAGAGAGATGAGAGTGATAAGGCAAGTGACCAGAGTGGGATGGAGAGTGAGAAAGAGGAGGATGAGGAGGAGGATGGGGAGGAGGATGGGGAGGAGGAGGGAGAAAAGGAGGTGGAGGGTTTAACAGCAAGGGAAGAGGCAATGATGTTGCTCTGGGTGCTGCCTGGTACAGGGAGCGAGGAGGAGGAGGAGAGGAGGAAGTTGAAAATACGGCAAGCACTGGCAGCAGCAGCAGGAGGAATCGCCACGGGGGCTTTAACTGTGGCGGGGGGGATCAAGGGAGGGGCAACAGCCGGGATGAGGAACGTGGCGACAGCTGCAGCAGGGGGGATTGGAGGGATAAGGGGAGGGGCGAGGAATGTAGCGTCAGCAGCAGCAGCAGCAGCGTCAGGGATAAGGTCACACAGCATGGCTCTTCCACGAGGTGTGACTATGGGCGCTGGTGATCATAACGGGGTTAGGGAAGGTGAAGGAGGAGGAGGAAGAGCGAGAGGAGGAATAGGAGGAGAGGTAGTTGGAGAGGGAAGAGGAGAGGGAGGAGGGAATGTGTTTAAGCAGACCCTGGGGAGGGTGAAGGGGACAGTCATGGGGCTGAGCAGCAGGGGTATCCCGAGAATGGAAACCTTCAGGGCAACTAGCCCCAAATCTCCCAGGGTTTTCCACAATCCGCCCAGCATTTTCCGGCAGAAATCTGCAGGTGCTGCTGAAGAGGCCGTACTCGTTACAAGGGGCCGCGTTACAAAAGGCAGTGAGGGGACGAGGGTGGCCCGAAGTAAGAGTGCAGACCAGAGGGGTGTGAGAGGCGAGGTGGCAACTGGCTCTGAGGCGCTTCAAAATCTCGGGAGGTCTCACTCGGGGGAGGTGGTGCTTGGCGCTGCTGGCCTCCCGAAGCTTATGCGGGAATACGATGCCGATGGTGATGATGACTATAGCGAGGATGAGGATGAGAGTGACGTTAATGAGGGTGATGTTAACGAGAATGGCAATGACGAGGATGTGGGTCGGGGCAGCAGTGATGCGCTCTGGTGGGGTGGCTACGAGGAGGAGGAGGAGGAGGAGGAGCTGATTCTTGATGATGCATGTGAAGATTCAGGTGAAACTTCAGGTGAGTCCTCGCGTAATCCGCTTGTCTTTCGGGCTACACGAGAAGGGGAAGAGGAAGGTTCGGGGAGAGGCTTGGAAGAGGGAGGTTCGGGGGAAGGTTCGGCGAGAGCATTGGGTCCATGGGGTGCTCTGAAGAAGCTCAGCAGCAGGAGGAGAGATGGAGGGTCGAGATCTTCTTTCGGCTCCGATCTAGCGTCCGTCAATGAAGAGGAGTTGGAGGAGGGAGGGGAGGTGAGTGAGGAGGAGAGAGAGGTGAGTGCGGGGGAGAGGGAGGTGAGGGAGGAGGGGAGAGAGGCGAGGGAGGAGGGGAGAGAGGCGAGGGAGGAGGGGAGAGAGGCGAGGGAGGAGGGGAGAGAGGCGAGGGAGGAGGGGAGAGAGGCGAGGGAGGAGGGGAGAGAGGCGAGGGAGGAGGGGAGAGAGGCGAGGGAGGAGGGGAGAGAGGCGAGGGAGGAGGGGAGAGAGGCGAGGGAGGAGGGGAGAGAGGTGAGCAAGGAGGGGAGAGAGGCGAGTGAGGGGAGGAGAGAGGAAAATGAGGGGGGGAGAGAGGTGGGGGAACGAGGAGAGGTAGAGGAGAGAACAGGGATGAAAGGAGGGGAGATGGAAGCAACTAAGAGTGACGGGGAGGTGGGGCGGAGAGAGACAGAGGAGGGAGGGAGAGATAAAGAGGAGGGGGGGGGAGAGACGGAGGAGGGGAGAGAGACGGAGGAGGGGAGGAGAGACACAGAGGAAGGGGGGAGAGAGACAGAGGAGGGGGGGAAGTGCTTTTGGGAATCTGAAAGGTTGCAGGAAGGAGAGTCAGAGAAGGGTGGGAAGGTGGAGGAGAGAGGGGTGGATGGGAGAAGAGGGATGGAGGAGGGGAAGCAGTTGGAAGAGGGTGGGGAGACTGTGGGGGAAGTTGTAATGGACGGGGAGGAGTTGGAGGGGACCAGGGAGAGAAAAAGGGGGAGGAGGGAGAGGAGGGGGAGGGGGGGAGGAAAGACAAGGAGGGGAAGAGAGGAAGGAAGTGATGTTGGGGACAGATGCAGCAGTGGTAGCTGAGGCACTAGTAAAAGCAGTTGGGGGAGCAGCAACCATGCCGGAAGCAGCAGAAGCAGCAGGGGCAGAAGCAGCAGGAGCAGAAGCAAGAGAAACAGATGCGGCAGACACAGCAGAAGCAGCAGAAGCAGAAGAAACAGCAGAAGCAGCAGAAGGTGGAAAGGTGGAGGAGGAGAAGGGGGTTGATGGGAGGAGAGGGATGGAGGATGGAAAGGAGAGGGAAGAGGGTGAGGAGGCTGAGGAGGAAAGTGTTAGGGAGGGGGAGGAGTTGGAGGGGCCTGGGGAGAGTAGAGGGGAGGAGGAGAGAGAGGGTGAGGAGAGGGAGGTTGGGAAAGAGGGGAAGGAGGGAGGAGGGGAGGAGAGGAGAGAAGGGATGGTGGGGATCGATTACAGTGCTCATTCCAGTCTATTTGCAGCTCCAGCGGTGGCTGAAGCAGCAGTGGTAGCAGTTGGAGGAGCAGCAGCAATGGCAGAAGCATCAGGAGCAGCAGAAACAGCAGAAGAAACAGAAGAGGCAGAAGCAGCGGAAGAAGAAGAAAGAGCAGAAGGAGCAGAACGAGCAGGAGTAACAGAAGCTGTTGGGGAAATCGCAGTAGTGGCGGAAACAGCCGAAACTACAGGAGAAGCAGACGCAGTTGGGGAAGCAGGCGGAGTTGCAGCAGCAGAGGAGGTTGAGGAGGAAGCAGCAGCAGTAGCCGAAATAGGGATTATTGAATCATCGTTCTTAGTTGTACCAACTGCTGCTGTGACTGCCCCAGATGTACCTGACCCAGATGTATCAGCTGCACCTGCTTCGGATGCACCTGCTTCAGATGCACCCGCTTCGGATGCACCTGCTTTGAATGCATCTGCTTCAGATGCACCTGCTCCAGATGCACCTGCTTCGAATGTACCTGCTTCGAATGTACCTGCTTCGGATGCACCTGCTTCGGATGCATCTTGTTTGGATGCACCTGCGTTGGATGCACCTGCTTCAGATGCACCTGCTCCAGATGCACCTGCTTCAGATGCACCTGCTTCGGATGTACCTGCTTCGTCGGATGCACCTGCTTTGGATGCATCTTCTTTGGATGCACCTGCACTGGATGCACCTGCTCCAGTTGTTCCTGCTTCGGATGCACCTGCTTCGGATGCACCTGCTTCAGATGCACCTGCCACGACAAAATGCCGAATTGGGTCGGCGGTTGCAGCAGCAGTGGCGGCAGGGGATGTGGTGATAAGTGAGGGCGCAGTAGGGGCAGCAGATTTAGCAGGAGAGGCAGAGCAGCCAGTGCTGGAGCGAACACACGAGCTGTCTGGCAGGAGAGGATCAGACGCAGCCACAGGATCAGGGGAAACTAAGGACGGGACTTTGCAGGAAGGTGCTGGGGAGCAGAGGAGTGTGGAAGATGGGAGTGTGGAGGGAGGGAGTGTGGAAGAAGGGAGTGTAGGCAAGGGGGGTGTGGAGGAAGGGAGTGTGGGCAAAGGGAGTGTGGAGGAATGGAGTGTGGGCAAAGGGGGTGTGGAGGAGAGTGGCGGCGTTGCAGGGAAGAGGGTGAAGGCCAAGGGGAAGAAAGGCGAGAAGAAGGCGCTGCTTAAGGCTCCTTCCAGGAAGATTCACCGGCAGGAGTCAAGAGATGGGGAGGACGCTCCTGATTCTGATGCAGGGGTAAAGGGAAGGAAGGGCCACACCCACAGGAAAGCGCACAAGAGTCAGGGTAAAGAGGCACATCACACTCACCAGCAGGAGCAGCGGCAGCAAGGGAAGGGACAGGATCAGCAGGAGCAGCAGCAGCAGCAGCAGGAGCAGCAGCAGCAGCAGCAGCAAGAGGTGCAGCTGCTACCAAACGTGACAATTCGTCACTCGCTGCCGACAGGAGAGCTGGTAGCAACGCCCCAGCACCTCTCCATCCCTGCTGCGCCCTTGTCCCCCACCAGCGCCACCAGCACGCCTCACAGCAACGCCTCCTCGCCCGCCTCCCCTGCTGGTTCCTTCAGCTTCGCCCTGCTGTCCCCTGTGACCCCTAAGAAGCCCCTCAAACAAGGAACCGCTGCTGCTGCTGCTGCTGCTGCTGCTAGTGCGGGCACTGCTGCTGGTGTTAGCGTTTCCGGTGATACTATTGGTGGCCCGGGTGCTGGTGGTGTGAGTAATGATGCCATCGCTGCTGCAGGGAAGAAGGCAGGGAAGGGGAAGAAGAAAGCCGTTCATCTACCGGCTATTGGCGAGGCGGAAGGCAGTGACAGTGAAGTGAAGGAGGGGCAAAAGAAGCGGAGTACCAAGAAGCACTTGCACAGGGGAGCGTCAGTGGCATCAGCTGCATCGGCAGACTCCCGGGCATCTGTAGCATCTGTAGCATCGGTAGCATCGGTAGCATCGGTAGCATCAGCAGCGTCGGTATTTTCAGCAGCATCGGCAGCATCACTCGCGTCTGCAGAGTCAGGAGAATCAAGTGCAAGTACAATCTCGTCTGGTAGAGCCAGAAAGTCACCCGGTAACAAGTCACCAGTTACCCTCACTGGCGCTGGCAGCACCAAGCCCCACCACAGAGCCCCTGTGCCCAAGTCCCAGTCCGTGTCTCCCACACCCCGCTCACTACACAGCTCCCCTTCTGAGGCGCCTAAAGAATCGCCCTCTGTAGATAGTTGTGCTGCTGGAATTGGAGCGTCATCAGGTGGACGCCCACCTGTGGCCGAACCCACTGTCAAGCTTCAAGCGTCGCCCAGCAGCAAACGACGGTCCGTGGACGATTCTAGCGGTACTCGGAGCCCCCCCGTGCGAAGGATGATCCCCCAGAGCGTGAGCGCCTCGCATGCGTTTGTTGTTGAGAGCAGCAGCAACAGCGGCAGGAGCGTCTCACCTGTGGGCTTCCAAAATCCGCCGGGGCGGGGGCATGCTGATGCGCCTCGGCTCCCGCCTGTGCCTGGTCCTACTCACAGTCCAAGGAGAAGGCCGTCTGTGGATGACCCTACTGGCAGGCCAGGATCCCCAGTGGCCCCAGTGGCTCCATTCTCCCCCTCAGGCCGACGGCTCTCATTTGATGACTCAAGTGGCACTCGGAGCCCCCCCGTGCGAAGGATGATTCCGCAGAGCATGAGCGCCTCGCATGCGTTCGCTGTTGCCAGCAGCAGTGCCTCACCTGTTTCAGTTAGTGGCTCTCCGACGGGCAACAGAAGGTATGCAGATTACTCTAGTGGCACTCGGAGCCCCCCCGTGCGGATGCGAATCCCCCAGAGCATGAGCGCGTCGCATGCTGCTGCGCAGGAGGAGGGGCGGAGGGAGGAGGAGGAAGAGGAGTGGGGGGGTGGTGCAGGGAATGGCGAAGGGAGGGGTGAAGGGGAGAAGGGGGCTGTTGTATCGAGCAAGAAGAAGGGTGGTGTGTTGAGCAAGGGCGGTGTGTCGAGCAAGGGTGGTGTGTCGAGAAAGGGCGGCATTGGGAAGATATTGAAGGGGCTGGATTCGTCGATGGGGAAGCTGCTGAAAGCCGCTGGTGGGAAGAAGAGTAAGGCTCACCACACTGTCGCTGCTGCTGCTGATGCGGATGCCAGTGCTGCTGCTGCTTCTGGCAATGGTTTTGCTGCTACTGCTGTAGAGGCTGCTGCTGAAGCGGGCGATTTGCCTGCAGAGGAGAGGGTAGCAGCGAAGGTGAAACGAACGATGAGCAAGAAGGGTAAGGAGGGGAGGAAGGGGGAGGAGGGAGAGATGGACGGTAAGGGGGGTGTGGCAACAGGGAGCAGCGAAGCGGCAAAGGAGGAGGGGGGAAGAAGAGGATGAGTCGGATGATGAGTGAGGTAAAGGCAGAAGGGAAGGACGAGGGCGTGGAGGGAGGCGAGTGGAAGGCGAGCCGAACGCTTAGTAAAGTGGAGAGAAAGGGGAAGGAGGGGAGGGGGGGAAGGAGGGGGCGGAGGGGACGGAATGTGAGAGTGGAGGAGAGGAGAAGAGCAGAGACGACAAGAAAGTGAGCAGAACGCTTAGCAGGATGAAGAGAGAGGGGAAAGCGGTGGGGGAAGAGGGTGAGAAGAAGGCAAGCAGGACGCTGAGCCGAGTTAAAAGAGAGGGGAGGGAGTCGGAGGATGATAGTGTGAAGAAGATGAGCCGGACGCTGAGTAGGAAGAAGATAGGAGACGCGGGGGTGATGAGGGAGGAAGTGGAGGAGGATGCAGAAAAGAAGATGAGCCGAACTCTGAGCAGGAAAAAGAGAGCGGAAGAGGAGATGAAGGAGGAGGGGGAGGAGGAGGAGGGGAAGGACAGGAAGGTGAAGAGGTCTTTAAGCAAGATGAAAAGGGAGGAGGTGGAGAGGAGTGGGGATTCGGAGGTAGAGGTTGAGGCAAAGAAGCATGAAGTTAAGGAAGTGCAGCACGGAGCTAAGGAGGAGAAGAAGGCGAGTCGGACATTGAGTAGGATGAAGCGGGAAGGGAAGGAGGAGCAGGAGGAGGATGTAGAGAGGAAAGCGAGCCGGACGCTTAGTAGAGTGAAGGGAGAGGAGAATGGGGTGGAGGAGGGTGGAGAGAAGAAAGCAAGCAGGTCGTTAAGCAGAGTGAAGCATGAGGAGAAGGAAACTGCGGCAGTTGAGGAGAAAAAAGCTAGCAGGACACTGAGCAGAGTGAAAAGGGAAGGCGGGCACATGGAGGGGGATGGGCATGGGGAGAAGAAGGCAAGCAGAACTCTAAGCAGGGTGAAGAGAGACGAAAACGAGGCTGTAGGTGGTGGTGGTGGTGGGGAGAGCAGCACGCGCAAAGCCACTCGCAGCAGCAGCCACGGGCGCGAGGCCTCTCATGCGCATGAGGCCACTCACAGGCGTGTGAACTCCCATGGCCATGACAGCTTTCACAGCCACGCGAGCTCTAGAAGCCCAGGGAGCACGGGGGGACAGGAGCCAGCAGAGGGAAAGACAAATGTGAGAGAGGCGGAGGGGAGGAAAGCTGCTCGCACTCTGAGCAAGCGAAGGTCTGAGGGGACAGAGAAAGGCACCGGGAAGGGGAAGAAGGTGGAGGAATCTGCAGAGGAGAATCAGCAGGGGAGGGCTCCCAGGCCTAGGACGGCTGATAGTGGCGGAGTGGGCGGTGGGGGATGGGTGCAGCTAGGGTTACCAAAGCACGGAGTTGTAACCATGGGACTGCAGGACCAGCTGTCGCCTCCTGTTTCGACGGTTTCAAGCGGAATCTGGAAGGCCCTATCATCGTTTGCCACGTCGCCGCGTGCCAGCTCGTCGCATGCCATGCCGTATGCCACGTCGCCGCTGATGTCACCGACTGGGTCATCGCCTTTTGCCACCCCTCCTCTGGGCTCGCCCACCCCTCCTAGATCACCTCCGTTAAAGTCACCCACTCTCAAGTCGCCCACTCTCAAGTCACCCAAAATGAAGTTACCCTTCATGGAATATGGCAAGACCCCCAAGCTGAGCAAGAGCAAATCGGCTAAGGCGAGTGGTGACAAGGAGGAGCGGGATCGGGAAAAGGAGGACAAGGAGAAGGGGAAGAAGAAAAAGGAGAAATCGAAGGGAAAGGGGAAGGGGGACCAGGGAAATGGTGAGAAGGCAAGGGCTAAGAGCCCTATGAAGGGTGTATGAAGTTAGTAGGGAAGGGGAGATGGGTAGTGAATAATGAGGAGCACCACCACCATTTAGAAGAGCATTTGCGTACGGTATCTCTTGCCAAGGCATGGCCCAACTTGTAACCCAAATATGGGTATAGGTTGCCTTTTATATAAATCAAGGCAATGCATACATACTGCATTGGCGATTGCAGTGCACTTTCACTTCCAACTGTACAAGTCCCAGGCCTAGTGCGTTATCGAATAGCTATCTGTCGGACGCGATTGTTTTCCATCCCGTCCATCGAATGGTTATCCGTCGTTCACGAAGCAGGATCGGGTGTGGGAAGCCCCGAGGTAGAATATCTCAATTTAACGCAATGACTAGAATGAGGCATACAGACATGTTTTGTGCTATGGTGATGTACTCTCTATGAGCATGCACCTATATAGCCTATATATATATATATAAATATGTTGACACATCCCCTAGGTTAGACAAGGGGCAGTGCCTGGCAAGAGACAAGTAGCTCAGGGTGGCACTATTAGTCCAACCTCTGAGGCAAGGGTCCGAAGACCAATCAGAAGAGTACAAACTACACAAGAGCAAACCAGGGTGGCACTACTAGTCCAACCACTGGAACAGAAGCCACAAGGCCAGTCACGAGAATATATAAAAGAGTAGTAAACAATCAAGGTCCTAGCAAGTGAGGAGCTACTGGAACTAGACCAAGCTGTACACAGTGCTGTGATGATCTTTAGGCGCAAGCGCCATAGCAAAGATATCAGCTGTGTTGGCATCGGAGGCCAAGTGAACTACGCCGGTCTGGCGTCGCTGTTGTAGCTCGTGCAAGAGGAAGTACCGCAGCTGGATGTGCTTCGCTATGCCCTCCAGTCGAGGCTTCTAACACTCAAGGATCATGGCCCTGTTGTCAGCGTACAGGACCGGGGCAGAGCTAGGGTTTTGGTGGGCTCTGACCGGGCAGAGCTAGGGTCCGCAACCCACTACCACTACCACCACCACCAGAGCCTCCAGGCCACCACGATGGTGGGGGTCCACACGGCTGTTGCTGTTGCTGCTGCTGCTACTGCTGCTGCTGCGACTGCTGCTTTTGCTGGAGCTGTTGCTAAGCTGGGGCACCAGCCCCGGTTCCCTCGTCTGCATCACCATCCCCTCCACCACCGCCGCCACGCCTCCTCCCCCCTCCCCCCCCACCGGCCCGGCGTCCCCTAACCTAACGAGACTATGCTGAGGCCGCCGCAGCGGCCTCAGCAACAGAGGCCCTCTCAGCAATAACGGCAGAGACGTCAAAGTAAGTGCACTGGGAAGGAGCACAGCCGTGGAAGATAGGAACCGTTGCAGTACCAATCGACTGAGCGATAGTGCACTGGCGGGTCTCTATCGCGGATGGGTAGTGACAAAGTCAGCAAGGGTGAGGTCAGCGGGTTGGAGGCCAAGGAAGTGGTGGCGGGCAGTTGCTAGGCGGTCTGGAAGGCACGTAGCAAGGAAGTAAACGGTAGCGCCAAGGGGGGAGGCAGTACAAGGAGCTGAGCCTCAGTGCTAGCAGCGCGGTAGCTAGCCTCTAGCGTGCGCAGGTGAGTGGCGAGATCAGCGACAGTCAGGGAAGAGCAGGAGGAGCAGGGTCAGGGAAATGACGCAAGGTCAGGGAAGAGAAGGAGGAGAAGGAGATGGTCGACGGAGGCGGAGGAGGGAGTGGAATAGCTCGTAATTACGGCATCTAAGTACTCCTTTGCAGTCTCTAGGGTCTGGTAGCGGGGTCGCTCAGACAGGGGGAGGGCGCGGCTGATAGCAAGCTGCGCAACTACGTCACACAACTCCCAGGCAGAGCAGGCGAGCTCAGAAGCTGCAAAGGCCTCACGCTCACCGGGCGTGGGGGGGTCTGAGAGGGCAGCAGGCGGGTCGGTGCAGGGGATCTTACCGTCGATGTGGATGGTCAGAGACTGGCCATTCTGGCGCTGTCCCCTCAGCGAGCGGCGGAGGTCAGCGAGCCACGCCACAAAGTCGATCGCCCGACCCTGCGTGTCCAGGCGGAGCACCGCGTCCGTCATCGCCATAGCTGCAGCAGTTGATGACGGCATAGCGGCACGGTGGCACGGCGGCACGGTGACACGGCGGCACGGCGCTGGAGAGGGTTCTCGTTCTGGGGGTGCTAATTCTGGGGGTGCTAGTCCTAGGGGTACTGTCGTGGCTTATCCCGGCGGTCCTCGGGGTGGCACCAGTGTTGGCCTTGTCTCTCATTCTGGGGGTGCTGTCGTGGAGCGTCCCGGAGGTAGCCGCGGTGCGGCTGGAGGTTCTGGCGTCCGCCGGTGTCTGCCCTTCGCCTCCTTGGTCTTCCCTCCCCCGACCGCCTGCCTACGCCTCCCTCGCCGCTGCCTCCCCCGCCTGTCTACGGCCCTGTGTTTCCTCCGCCGGACTCGTCCCCGGCTCGTTTCCCCCCTCGTTCTCATCCTGTGTCTCCTCCCTTGTTTCCTGGCCCAACCCCCCCCTCCCACTGGTGGTCTCACCGTGCCTCTTGTGCGCTGGGGCCAGCGAGCTAGGGGGCGGCGAGCAAGCGTGAGCCGACGAGCGTGGGCCGACGACCGAGTGTCGGCGAGCTGGGCCGGCGAGCTAGGGACGGCGAGCTAGGGCTAGCGAGTGCACGAGGGGCAGCGAGCGAGCTAGGGGCCAACGGGCTAGGGCTCGCGCGGCGCGTGAAGGGCCAGCGGCGAGCGAGGGGCCAGCGAGCGAGGGCTCGCGTGGCACGCGAAGGGCCAAGAGCGAGCTAGGGGCCAGTGAGCGAGAGCTTGGGGGACGCGCGAAGGGCCAGCAGCGAGCTATGGACTAGGGTGGGCGCTAGGAACTAGGGGCCAGTGCGGACTAGCAGGGCCGGCATGGAGGGACAGGGCCGGCGCGGACTAGCGGGGCCGGCGCGAAATGCGGGGTCGGCGCGAAGTGGCGGTGCTGGCGAAGACTAGCAGGGCTGGCACGGAGGGACGTGGATTGTGGACGGGCACGGGCGTGGCTCGGGCGCGGCTAGGGCTAGGGCGCGGGCACGTCTCGGGCGCGGCGCGGCGTGGCTAGGGCTAGGGCACGGGCGCAGCTAGGTCTAGGGCACGGCTAGGACACGGGCTAGGGCTAGGGCTAGGGCTAAGGGCGGAAGCGTAAGCGGGGAGGGGGACCCGAGCTAGCGTGATACCATCTCAAAATAACGCAATGACTAGAATGAGGCATACAGGTAGGTTGTGTTCTATGGTGTTGTACTCTCTATCAGCATGCACCTATCTAGCCTATAACAATATATAAATATGTTGACATAATGGAGGTTCGATGGGAAAACTTGTTTCAGGGTGTGTCACCTGCGTACATTTCTCTCTCAATACCCTACCCAACCGTTCTGATAAGTTTTTTACCCACTAACTTAAAGAGCATCTCATCTACCCGCAATCAAACGTACGCGCTGGATCCGTCCTCGGTTAGTCCTCGAATGGAATGGGGTCTTGGAAATCAGGATCTGTACCCCAAAACCCGCAACACCCGCTCGATCCTCTTCAAGCTTGTCAAATTCCTGCATCGTGTCATTGATGGATGTCATGGAGATTTGTCTGCGAGCCAGGCTCGGCCGACTCTCTCCTGGTGTCTTCCACGGGCAAATATAGGTATTCGATTTGACGCAGGAATGCGCCCTCAGCCATGACCCAGCCTATCTTGTTCCACAGAGAGCACAGCACACCCAAAAACTCGTAAGAGTTTTGTACTTCCCACTGTACGTGTCCACTGCAGGTGAGGAGAAGAAAAATCGGGCAGTGATGTTGATGACAGCAGGTTATGTAACAGCACGGCATGGTCCATCGCTTATGGCAAAAAACGAGGAGGAATATGCTAGTATAATGCCTCCTGAACAAGAAGAACATATGTCATGCAGCCTGAAAGGGCATGTTTATAATGCCAAACCAACAACCACATTCACCAAGTACTATTCGGACACTTCTGGCCAGATTTGAAGCAAGTGTTCAACAATCCAAAATCAGTACCTAGTCCACCTCCCCTTAGCCCTAACCACTGCCTTCACCCTCCTAGGCATACTGTTGATGAGGCCCCTGCACACATCCGCCCCAATTCCATCCCATGTTTCTTGCACCCGCTCCCAAGTCTGGAGCATCCCTGTGGGGGGGTGCTCATACTTGGCAAGCTCCCTTTTGAGGTGTGCCCACAGGTTTTCTATGGGGTTGAGATCAGGGGAGGAGGAAGGCCACTTGAGGACTGCATACGGCTGCTCAGCCAGCCATGCTTGCACAAGGCGGCTCTTGTGCTTGGGGTCGTTGTCATGCTGGAAAATTACATCAGAGGGGGTTAGACTATAGAAATCGATAGTTTGAGCAAGCTCATCATGTAAAATGCTTCTGTACAGCTCCCCATCCATGTGGCCGTCAATCTTACACATATAGCCCGGGCCATCATAAGTCATGCACCCCCATACCATCAATGACCCGCCCCCATGCTTGACGGTTTTCTGAATGTGGTGACGTTGCAGGGCGGCCCCGTCGCGTATCCATGCGTACTTGCGGCCATCACTAGAAAAACGGTTGATCTTGGTCTCGTCGGACCAGATAACCCGCTTCCAATCTTCAGTGGTCCAGTCAAGATGCGCCTTGGCGAAATCGAGTCGGTCTCTGACTTGAGCCGTCAAGGCTGATTCCACTAAACGCTGATGATACTGACTGAGTTGAAAACTGTTGTGATGTTGCCTGTGTTTGCTGTTGTTGCACTGCAGGTGCAGTCGATGAAATCCCTGGAGTACTAACAGGATTTTGCTGTTGCTGCTGCATACCAATGTTCAAATAAGCCGGTGGAAACTGTCCATAGGCTGAAAGACCAGTGGCAGTCGAGGAGACAGGTACTCCAGTAGTTCCGGAATTAGATCCAGAAGATTGTGCTTGTGGTGTTCCAGTCATTGTTGTCAGTAGTCTTAATTCCAGACAGCTCTCATACCATGTAATAATTTGACAGGTGGTGCAGGAGACTAAGTGTAGAAGCTGCAAACACGAACACTTGGAAAAAACTCAAGTGTTAACCTAGGATCTTTACAGGAATTGTAGACTAGTAAGACAGCAGAAGTCTTAGAACTTGTAAAGTGTTGACCAAAATTTACTGAAGAACAAGTTAACTAAACTGTTGGAAATACCTCGAGGACGTAAGCGTTTATGAAGTGTAACACTACGTAAT